AAGGTTGAGGGGCTTTCACCCAGCCCCTAGAGTCTGGCACTTTGAACTTGGACTTAAAGCCTCCAAATTGTAAGAATAAACTCCTGTTTGTTTAAGCCATCCCATTTGTGGTATATTCTTGTCAGAGCAGTACTAGGTAGAAAATGTACCACATGAAAAATGGGATTAATTCAGTACTAAACAATGGATCACATTTATATTTTCTAGTTGTTTGCTTAGGAGCTCTGGTAGCATAGTGCCTAAGGCACTTGACTGCTATGCTGACCAGAAGGATGGAGGTTCAAACCCACCAGCCACTCCTTGGAAGCAAGGTTGGGCAACCTACTTCCATAGTGATACTGCCTTGGAAACCCCCCAAGGAGGGGTTGCTATGAGTCAGGTTTGACTCGATGGCACATAACAACAACAACAACAGTTGTTTGCTTATTCGTAATGAAAGGCTTTAATCTTAGAAAATTTAGCATAGCAGTTCCTGAACTTCTCAAATTCAGGGGCTTTTGGCACTTTAAAAATTATTGAGGGCCTTGAAGAGCTTTTGTTTAGGTCAGTTGTAACTTTTGATATTTACCATATTAGAAATTAAAACAAAATTTTAAACTATTTGTTGTTGTTGTTGTTGTTATGTATTTGTTAGTTCCTCTAAAATAACAATAAGCCCATTATATGTTAATGTAAATATTTTTTTTCTGAAATATAATTGTGTTTTGCAAAACAGAAAAGTTAGTAAAAACACTGGCACTGTTTTATAGCATTGTAAATCTCTTTAATGGCTGGGTTAATAGAATACAGCAGGATTCTCATATTTACTTTTGTTTTCAATCTGTTGTGACATATTAGTTTAGTTGAAATACATGAAACAAATCTGGTCTCATAAAGTAGCTGGAAAAAGAATATTTTAACAGCCTTTTCAGATTATTGTGGATATTCTTCTTTGACATTACACTCAAATTTGGCAAGTGGTAGTTGCAATGTGGAATCTGAAAATGGTATCAATGGACTTTTCTTTTTTGTGGTAAGAATATACATTACAAAATATTTGCCAATTCAACAATACGTACATTTTCAATGAACTTTTTGTACTTTTATATCAAAATCTATTGATGTATCTTAAACTTGGAAGGATTTTTTTAATTGATGAATAATTTTGTTAGCATCATACATTAATCATTTTGAAAATACTGGTTCACAAAATTATGCAGATCTTCCAAACACTGAAACATTTCATTATGTAATAATAAAAAATTACATTTGTTAACATTTCCACCTATCTTACTAGAAAAATCTAACCAGTGAGAAGCTGTCAAATTCATACAGTAGATACAAGTTTTCTGAATTTCTTGTTTGCTTAAAAGCTTAAATTTTATCACATTCTATCAAGTGTTTTCCTTTAAATGACAGACTCACTTCATTTTTTTTCCAAAGAAATATATGCCAAAAAACTTGTATGAATAACATTATTAGTCTGTCAGGTGAAAATGGTGTTCCATAATAAAAGCAGCTAGTTCAATAGGCAACCATTGTACTTCAGTATGCAGCACAAGTGTTTTAAGTGTTCTTCCATTTCATTACACAAAATATTAAAAGGACATTGTTTTGGTTACCTAGTGCTGCTCTGCCAAGAATATACCACAGATGGGAGGGCTTGAACAAACAGGAATTTATTCTCTTACAGTTCGGGAGGCTAGAAGGCCCAAGGTCGGGAGAGCATGGCAGGCTGCTGAACAACATGGCTACATACAGGGTTCAAGCATGCCATATGCTAGAGACCATTCCCAAAGCTGCTGCTTATATATGGGAAGCAGACCACATCCCTAAAGGAGCTACTCAGCTGCTCCAATACATTCCACCATGGAGTTAATAACCAGTTTACTATGGGGAGTAACTGCATCCAGCTGCCCAGCCACTCAACCAGGCCTAGCCATGTTGACACACAAACTTAACCACCACAGATATTTACTCAAAGCTAGAGATGTAGGTGATTGCAAAAATAGTGTAGTATTTTCTCTGCTTTATAAAAGCAATGAGAAAACTGAAAAATTGTCAGAATGAACCCTAGACATTAACAAAATGTTTGTAACAATCTGTGAAACACACATGGAGAATGTTATGCAGTCATCACCATTATCTAATTTCAGAACATTTTCATTACACCAGAAAGAAACCCTATACCCATTAAGCAGTCACTCCCTATGATATATTTTTTCTATTCCATTCCATTTCATTCAGAATGCTGAATGAGATTCACTTGGTCTCATAATCCACTGACTAAAGAGTCCCAACTCGTACTCTGAATTAATCACTAGAAAATTAGTAAGAGGACTTTTAGGTCTAATTCTGTGATCCTATTACACTCTAGACATTGGTTTCTTAAAAATAAGTGAAGTCTTCCAGCTTGGAAGTGCTCACAGAAGTTTTCTAAGTGACTTGGCTTGCTTTCTTGTACTCATACATTTATTTTTTCAACAGACATTTATTAAGGGCTTGAATGGAAAATAAATAATAATAATAATAAATATATAGCCTCTATTTTCAGAGAAACTGGCATGAAAATAAGTGAGAATGAAAGAAGAAAGGGAAGTGGTTGCTTTTATTTTGCAATTTGAAGAGGGGATGGAATTAAGAAGTATTTGATCCTACATCGACTTCAGAAAAGATATATAGGTATCCTCTCATATTTAGACTTTTGCTCTACAAGTCTTATTCTCAGGGCTACAATGCCACTTTCCTAGAATGCAGGATGAATTCTGCAATTCCTAGAAAAACAATGTACAGAAAGCTGTTTTCATATAGGCCAAGAAGAAGGACCACCATTCGTCTGTCAGCTTGTTGTACTGTGGTGGCTATCATGTTGCTGTGATGCTGGAAGTTATTCCACCAGTATTTCAAATACTAGCAGCGTCATCCATGGTGGATAGGTTTCAGCAGAGCTTCCAGACTAAGACAGAGTAAGAAGAAGGACAGGCCATCTGTGGAAAAATTGGCCACTGAAAACCTTACGAATAGCAGTGGAACATTGTCTGATACAGTGCCAGAAGTTGAGCTCCTCATGTTGGAAAGCACTCAAAATATGACTGGGGAAGAGCTCCTCCTCAAAGCAGAGTCCAACTTAATGAGTAGATGAGTAAAGCTTTTGGGACCTCCATTTGTGGATGTGGCACAACTCAACATGAGAAGACACAGCTGCAAATACCCACTAGTAATCTGAATGTGGAATGTATGAAGTATGAATCTAGGAAAATTGGAAGTTATCAAAAATGAAATGGAGCACATAAAGATCAATATCCCAGGCATTAGCAAGCTGAAATGGACTGGTACTGGATATTTTGGATCTGACACTCATATACTCTACTATGCTGGAAATGACATATGGAAGAGGAATGGTGTTGCATTCATTGTGAAAAGGAACATTTCTAGATCTATACAGAAGTACAATGTTGTCAGTGTTAGGGTGTCATCTGTATGCCTACAAGGAAGTCTAGTTAACACTATTATTATTCAAATTTACATGTCAACCACTAAAGTCAAAGATGAAGAAATTGAATATTTTTACCAACTTTTGTGGTCTGAAATTGACCAAACATGAAATCAAAATGTATTGATAAATACTGGTGATCGAAATGTGAAAGTTGTAAATAAAGTAGCAGCGTTGGCAGTTGGGAAAAACAGACTTGGTGACAGAAATGATGCTGGAGACTGCATAATTGATTTTGCAAGACCAATGACTTATTTATTGTAATACCTTTTTTCAACAACATAAAGGTGTCTACATGCATGGACCTTGCCAGATGAAATGCACAGGAACCAAATGACTACATCTGTGGAAAGATACTATGAAGAAGAAGCTCAATTTCATCAGTTAGAACAAGGCAAGGGGCTGTGGAATAGACTATCAGTAACTCCTACGCAGGTTTACCCAGAAGCTGAAGAAAATTAAAACAAGTTCATGAGAGCCAAAATACCACCTTAAGTATATCCCAACTGAATTCAGAGACCATCTGAAAAATAAATTTGACACACTGTACACCAGTGACTAAAGACCAGATGATTTGTGGGATGACATCAAGGACATCCTGCATGAGGAAAGTGAAAGGTCATTAAAAAAGACAGGAAAGAAAGAAAAGACTGAAATGGATGTCAGAAGAGACTCTCAAACTTGCTCTTGAACAGAGAGTAGCTAAAGTGAATTGAAGAAATGATGTAGCAAAAGAGCTGAACAGAATAATTCAAAGGGCAGCTTGAGAAGACTAAGTAAAGTATTATAATGGACTGTATAAAGACCTGGAGACCCGGAGTTAGGAAACCAAGAGGAAAGAATATGCTTGGCATTTTTTGGAAAAAATTTAAGCCCTGACTTGCAACATTGAAGGATTCTATGGGTAAGATAGATTCTCAGTGAGACAGATTGACCCAGTGGCTGCAACGATGGGCTCAATCAAGTACAGCAAGGATTGTGAGGATGGTGCAGGACCATTGCTTGAGTTAGGCACATCCTGTTCTTCAAAGTCACATCTTTGCAATGTTATCCATAATTTGTTATGATGCACAACAGTCAAATGACTTTGTGTAGTCAATAAAACACAGTAAACATCTTTCCAGTATCTGCTTTCAGCCAATATCCTTCTGACATCAGCAATGATATCCCTCATTCCACATCCTCTTCTGAATCTGGCTTGAATTTCTGGCATTTCCCTGTCGATATGCTGCTACAACCATTTTTGAATTATCTTTAATAAAATTTTAATTGAGTTTGATACTAATGATATTGTTTGATAACTTCCTTATTCTGTTGGGTCATCTTTCTTTGGAATGGACACAAATATGGATCTCTTCCAGTCAGTTGGCCAGGTCGCTTTCTTCCAAATTATTTGGCATAGAAGAATAAGTGTCTTCAGTGTGTCATCCATTTGTTGAAACATCAAAGTCGGTATTGTGTCAATTCCTGGAATCTTGTTTTTTGCCAGTTCCTTTGGTGCAGCTTGAACTCTCCCCCATGGGTGACCCTGCTGGCACCCAAAATACTGGTGGCACAGCCTCCAGCTTCACAGAAACACACAAGCCCCCACAGTATGACAAACTGACAGATGATGGTGGTCATTCTTGGTAGGTAGAAAGAAATATAAAAATTTTCTAAGACAGAGATATGATTCACCAAATTTTGACATTTAAACATACAGTTTCTACTAAGCAACTCTCTAATTTTCCAATGATCCATGACCTTTTATAATTCATTATTTCTTGGAAAGGATGTTATGATATATCAAAGTTATACATTGTGAAGGCAATTGGTGAGAGTACTGGTAATCTATGCATTGTAGGAGTACAGGAGAAAAGGAAAAACAGAGAATGAGGAGTAATTTGAACACGATATGCAAATGGAAGAAAGATATTTCCATTGAAGTTCACAAAGGGAGGGTTTCAATCAGTCAATGAAAGTAAGGGGGAGTAATTTTTTAAAAAAATCAGAGAAAAGAGTCTCCTGTTTTCAAAAAGACAATCTTGCTTGAGGCACTTCACTTTAAATTTATTCCTTGTCCCCAATTCAAAGCTGAGGGGAATAAAATTTTCTGGCCTGTTAAAGTAGACTGCAGTGATCCACCAATTAGAACTAATGAAGACCAAATTGACACCAGATCAGCATATGGAAATAAGTAAAATTTGGAAGGCACAAGACTGGCTAATGGGGCAACTCAACAGTCTACCCAATAATGAACTTCCTCCAGGCAGGAAGTGTGACCAAGGACTATTTTATTTGGCCTGGAGGCTGTAGCAATGGAGTATAAATGGGTGTGGTGGTAGAAGGAGACCTTTTGTAGAAAGCAGAGATTGCTGAATCTTGAAAGTTGATAGAAGGCAAGAGGGAGAACAAGCTTGGAACATCAGAGGTCAAGAGATAATAACTGAATTAATAGAAGCAGGGCCTCTAAGTAAGGGTAGCAAATTCTAGGCTGTAATAGTTAGATAATAAGCAACTATGTGAGAAGTTAGATAATAAACAATTATGTGAGAAGTGTGAGGGCTCCTACAGTCACCACTAAATGAAAAGTGGATAACTCTAGTTGGCAAAACAACAATAACAAAAATAATAACAACAAAACAAACCAACCAAAAAACTCTAAAATATTTTTAAATGAAGAGAGCTAGGATGTGGAAGTAGGAAGAAATGGAGGAAGTTAGCAGTTTTTGAAGTACTTATTATGTTTCAGCCACTTTGCTAGTACTTTACTTCTTATTTAATCCTTAAAACCACCCAAGGAAGTAGGAGATACTTTTCCCATTTTATAGATAAAAAGTCTGAGGCTTAGATTTCCAAGCAGTACAGTTGGGTCAGGTCTATATCAGATTAGCAACAAAGCACAAAGGTAGACAAGGGTGACACATTTTAATATAAGAGAGTTAACATAAGCTTTGAAAAGTTAATATAATATAATAAAACAGGAGCTCTGGTGGCGTAGTGCCTAAGGCATTTGACTGCTAACCACAAGGCTGGCGGTTCAAACTCACCAGCCACTCTAAGCACAGAGGTAGACAAGAGTGACACATTTTAACATAAGAGAGTTAAGTAAGAAGCTTTGAAATGTTAATATAACATGATAAATTAAAACAAAAACAAAGAAACAAAACCAAGAAAACCTACTCTTGGACCCGGTGCTCCAGGTGGACCCTATAACAAAAAATTTTAAAACTTATATTTAGTAGACATCCAAAACCAGTCAAGCATATAAACTTCAACAGTAAATAGATACAAAGTTAAATAAACTCACTGGAGGCCCAGGCCGGCCTCTTGGTCCTTGGGGACCCTGGAAGAAATAGAAATAAGGCACAATATGCAAATTATATTTTTGCTTGGTATGAACAAGAGAACTAAGATTCAACTTCTATCACTGGTCTTTTTGTATACAGGAAGTCATAAGTTTTCAAAGTTGTTTTTGTATTTCAAACTCACACATTCTTAGACATAGCGATCACACATAAAAGTGAACAAGCAGATAGGACTTTCCTGTTTTACTGATATTACCAGAAATGGAATTTATTCATTTTAACAAACTATTATGAATGTGGCTTTCAAAAAAGATTAATATAAAGTATTTTTTTCCTGTTCTTCCTACCTACCATCCACCTAATAATCAATAGAAATTTCAAAGTATTCTTTGACACCACTTCCCTTTTCTTCAACATTCTCCTATAAACTAACAAATCTTGTTGATTTTACTTTCAAGTCTCTCCAAAACACTTCTTTTTTTTTCTCCTTTCAACCCCACAGTAACAGTAACTGTCTTAGTTTAGCGTGATCATTTTTTTGTCTGGACTCCTAATTTGAGACCTGTTTACTTTCTCCTCTGTGCTAACTACCTTTTACTTATAAAATACAAATCTAAGCTGCCATTATTTATTTAACATCATTCAATGGCTCTTTATTGTTTAGAGGATAAAATACAAACTTCTTAATGGTGGTAGCTACCATTTACTGAGGACTCAGTATGTGGCAAGCTGTGTGCTATATTTCCATCTTACAATTAAGGAAATGGAATATGAATATGGAGCAGAGCTAGGATTAAAATTCAAGTCCATTGGACACAAAAGTACATGATTTTAGTCACTTTTCACCACTGCCTCCTCTCCAAGGTTTATCCTCACTTTCATTTACTTTCCCCAACATAGCCAATACTTCATATATAACCAATTACATGTCGATCTCTGAATCTTCATATATGTGCTATTTCCTTGACCAGCAATGCTGTTCCCTACCTTTTCTACCTGTTGAACTCCCATTCCTATTCTAATACTTCCTAAAATTTTTTTTTCCCTCCCTTTTTCCCAACTAATCAACTTTTCTGCATTCCATGGTACATAACACACCGGGAAGTGGCTAATGATCCTTAAGGTATCTTAGTCACCTTTTTATTGTCTGGAATGAGAACAGAGCCTAATACACAGTATGTGTTCAATAACTGTTATGGAAATATTAAATAAATTAATAATGTGAAATTAATTGGCATTACTTTAGAAATTAGAGTTGTTAAAATACGTAGAATAAAGTATCAAAAGTTACACAGACATTTTTCAAAAATTGTTTTTTCAAAGCAATAGCAATCGTTGTCAATAATACAGGGAGGCTTTGTATGTCTGCTCAAAAATTTTGTTTGCTTGATGGTCAATTGAATATTAAGACCATATTGAGTGAAACTCAGAATATGGTCAAGAGATGACAAAGCAAATTTTGTCTTCAGCTGAGTTTGTAAAATGTTGATGCTATGCTTGACTTAGTATTAAGTATCTTTTATTGCCAAGAGCGATTGATCCTAAATATACTGTGACAGCTAAAACAGACAACACATAGTTACTTTAAAAGGGTAAAGTACTCCAGCATTGTGTCTCCTGGACATTTCTTAGTTTGCATGGTTTGTGATCACAATTTTAAGTAGAGAATGGACAAAACTTGTACTGCAGAAGCTGTATGATAAGTTACAGAAATTTCAAGTTGGAAATATCCTTAAATATATTGAGGCTGAGTGAATTTGGCTTTGAAAGTTTCTCCATTCTGGATCAACACAGTAAAAATAATAAACAATTATGACATTCCATCCCACTTTGTATATTTCTGCCCTTTGGAAAATCTCACTGATGCTGAAGTACAAAATATATATCTTATCTTTGATTTTGAAAGAAGGATTTATCATAGAGGGAAGAAATTATTCCTACTGCTGATTTTTTTGGGGGTACATTTCAGCTGGTTACCTAATACAAGTCAGATCATCACAAATATGATCAAATGAAATACTTCAAACCCAACAAAGACAAGCCAATGTAACAACTGCGTGGAACAGAACAAGAGGTCAAGGAAAACAAGATATGATTCCAACAATGTAACATTTTATTAGCTGTTTATATTCTTTTAGGTAACATACCATCCAGGAGAAGTAATCACTCCCTCTCTATGTTATATAAGGCAGTTTATAATAAAACTATGTCCGTGTTAATTTCTTAGTCGAGCTTCAAATTAATGTGTGAAGTGTTACTTGGCTAAGTGAAAGCACTGACTTTGAATAGATTCAGTTTTCACTTAACCTCAGAATTTACATATGATTCTACAAAAGTAGCATATTTCATCATTAGGCTTTAAAAATACTGATGGGTACGCAGGAACTTGAGTATGTTACACTTTACCTTTACGCAAATACAATTCATTTAGCGTCATGATGTTTACTTTAGGCTGGCTTCACCTGGCTCTCAGTTGCAGAGAGCTTTCCTTTTCTCATTTATAAATTAAAAAAAAGCTTGCCTTGTAGGGTGTTGAGCGGCATCCCTGGCCTTTACTCACTAGATGTCACTAGCAACTCCCCCCTTTTCCCTAGTGGTGACAACAAATAAATATCTTCAGATATTGACAAATGTCTGGGAAGGCAGGGTTGCAAATTTGCTCCTGGTTGAGAACCACTGCTTTGGAGAATTTAATTGGGAATTTAGCTGTAACACTAAATAAGATTTATTAATCAGTAATGGAATTGGGAGAGAATCAGCAAGCTTTAAGGCACAGGGCAAGACAACTAATTAGCATTAGTAATCAACTGCCACGTAGGTGGGTAGTTGCTAACTCTTGTTTTCTGAGAGACATTTTGATTTATATGAGACGTAAAGACCTGGGAATGGGAACCAGGCTCTGGTTTTGTCTCTATGTGTCCTTGACCAAGTTCCTGCATATTTGGCTCTTAATATCTCAACTATAACATAATGGTTTTGTTGAAGATAATCTCCAAGATTCATTTTAGAATTATGATTTTTCAGCCTTTTATCTATTTTCTTCCTTGTGCTTTACATCTGGAGACAGAAGGGACAGATGTACAGGTGAGGAATTTAACGTTAGAAGTTGCATGAACGTAAGGGAAGTGTGTACTATAATTAAAAGAGAGTTTGATAATTTTTCATATGAATGAATTATACTATCTATGAACTTTAGAAAGATATATATACATATCTGCTTTACATTCTTAATTTGTTAATATTTAGGGCATGTTATCTCATGATTTCGTTTTTCCTTACAAATCTTCTTCCTTACTTTCCATTTGGAAACAAATAAGATAATTCTGATATTCAAGAATTGTGACCTATTAATTTAGAGGTAATATCTGAGAAAATTTCAAAGAGCTTTTTCAACACTTTATTGCTTTTCATTAAATAGTATTTCATTAAAATGAAGCAGCTTATCTAAATAGTCATGCTGGGATTACTTCCTATATTTTTTATTTTTTTTTTTACTCATATGGTTCTGAGTTACATACTTCAAGTTGTGACATTTTGTCAAAATCCTTTTTATATGACCTGACACTGGGAAATTATTTTTCTGATCAGTTAAATTTTTACTTTTGTTCTCATTGTAACCCATTATTTCTGGAAATCTTTGCATTTGTTGCTGTTAAATTCTGTCATGCCGTTGAAGTGTGTGGGCTCTCATGGCAGTCAGGAAATTTTTGTAACTTTCCCAAATTAATTTGCCCGTACTACTATAGTTTTGAAATAGAGGAGGTCAGGAGAATTTAAAATCTACTAGAAAGTTTTCCTAGGATGCTTCAAAATTCTGGCTCTGTTGAGAGAAAATATATAAATTGTATCCAGTGACTTACTTTTAAAATTTCCCACAAGTAGGTAGACATGGAGCAAGTATAGAACAAACAGGTAAGAAACTTTTTCACACATGACAAAGACAGAAACAGATCTCTTGGTGGCGAAAAGGACCCACTGTGGATCAAATCTAGAGTTTACAATGTCAAATTGCAGAAGGTATGAAGCTTTCTAATAGGAAACCCAAATTTATGCTAAAGGTGTAATTTTCATGTGTTGTGTAATGGCTGTAACTGTATTTTTTTTTAAGCCACTGAATCATGCTTTGCTCTTGGTATAAAAGTTGGTAATTATAGCATAGCTTCATAAATCCTTATAGCAACTTCAAGGCAAATTTAAAAAGAAGATTTATAAAGCATAATTTCATGGATTTTTGTAATTCCGAGTTTTATAAGTAGAGTGAAGTATCTTATATGACTTTATAAATTTATAAACTGTCTTTAGCTAGTCAATTATTTAAACTATAGGAGTTCTGGTAGCATAGTGCCTAAGGCACCTGACTGCTAACCAGAGGCTGGTGGTTCAAACCCACCAGCCACTCCTTGGAAGGAAGGTTGGGCAATCTACTTCCGTAGTGAAACTGCCTCAGAAACCCAAGGAGAGGTCGCTATGAGTTGGGTCTGACTCAATGGCACATAACAATAACAACAACAACTTGAAGATAACAAATCTGAAAAAAAAAAATCAGAAATAAAATAATGAGAGTGTGAGAAATGTAACCAAGCTTTTCTAGAGAACCAAAACAGAAAAGGTTTACTGACAAATTTTCTGGATTAAGTTAATCATAGAATAATCTCTAGGAATTAAGAGATTAATAAAGCTCTTGTAAACATTAATGAACTCAAAGAATATGAAATGATATAAAGATGCTTTGTACCAGTTACTGAACAGTAAAAACAGAACAGCTAAGAAACCCTACTGAGCAGTTTTACTGTGCAACACATGAGGTCACCGTGAGTGGTGAGCCTGCTACATGGCAGCTAACAACAACAGCAGTCATGTCCAGTGTCCTCAACCTTCTGTAATTCATTTATCAATAATTCATTAAATATTCATTGAACATCAACTATAGGACAGGCACTATTTTAGGTACTGGGGACATATATTAAAATGAACAAACAAAAAGTAGATAAAACACCTGTGTTCATGGAGCCTACATTGTAGCAACTGGAGATAAAATAAGCAAAACATATAAATAAGGTCAGGCAGTAAGACAGTGGAGTAAGGAAAGATAAGGAATTTTAAAAAGGTGGGGCAGTGTTATTTTACATAGGCTAATCAGGAAATATTTAAGTAAAGAACTGAAGAAAAGGCGACAGATATTGTACTAGGTTCTGGGTACAGGTACCCCATTCAGGGGTGTGGATGGGGTGGGCTCAAAACATTAGCAAGTCCACCCTAAGCAAGTGAACTTTAAATTGAAATGTCAAGATGAGTAGGAATTAGAGAACTTCCAGAAATGTGAGCTGCATTCAGAAGAGGACATGGAACAAGGGATATCAATGCTGATGGAAGATAGATCTTGGCTGAAAGCAAAGAATACCAGAAAGATGTTTACTTGTGTTTTATTGACTATACAAAGGCATTCAATTGTGGGGATCATAACAAATTATGTATAACATTGAGAAGAAAGAGCATTCCAGAATACTTAATTGTGCTCATGAGGAACCTGTACATAGTCCAGGAGGCTGTCGTTTAAATGGAACAAGGGGATATTGCATGGTTTAAAATCAGGAAGGGAGTGCATCAGGGTTGCATCCTTTCCCCATATTTATCCAATCTATATGCTGAGTAAAAGATCTGAAGCTGGACTATATAATGAAGAAAGTGGCATCAGGTATGGAGGAAGACTCGTTAACAACCTGCGATACACAGATGACACAACTATGCTTGCTGAAAGTGAGGATGACATGAAGCACTTACTGATGAAGATTAAAGACTACAATCTGCAGTATGTATTACACGTTAACATAAAGAAAACAAAAATCCTCACAACTGGACCAATAAACAGCATCATGATACATGGAAAAAAGATTGAAGTTAGCAAAGATTTATATTACTTGGTTCCACAAAAGCCGCCAATGGAAGCACCAGTCAAGACATCAAACTATGTATCGCATTAGGCAAATCTGTTGCAAAAACCCTCTTTAACGTGCTGAAGAGCAAAGACGTCTCTTTGAAGACTAATTGCACCTAGTCCAAGCCATGGTATTTTTGATCGCTTCATATGCATGTGAGAGTTGGACAATGAATAAAGAAGACCAAAGAAGAGTTGATGCATTTGAGCTGTGGTCGTCAAAGAATACTGAAAGTACCATGGACTGCCAAAAGAACTAACAAATCTGTCCTGGAAGAAGTGCAGCTGGAATGCTCCTTGGAAGTGAGAGTGGCCAAACTTTGTCTGACCTACTTTGATCATGTTGTCACAAGGGACCATTTCCTGGAGAAGAACATCATACTTGGTAAAGTGGAGGGTCAACAAAAATGGGGAAGGCCCTTAAGAAGATGGATTGACACAGTGGGTGCAACGATGGGTTCAGGTATAGCCAAGGATTGTGAGGCTGGCACAGGACTGGGCAGTGTTTTGTTCTGTTGTATGCAGGGTCACTTTGAGTCGGAGCCGACTTGACAGCACCTAACAACAATGCTGAGGCAAAAGGAGCCCTGATGGTGCTGTGGTTAAAGCGTTGGGCTGTTAATCAAAAGATCAGTAGTTTGAACTTACAAGCAGCTCCATGGGAGAAAGATGAGGCAGTCTGCGTCCATAAAGATTTACAGCCTTAGAAACCCTATGTGGCAGTTCTACTTTGCCCTAAAGGATCACTATCAGTCGGAATTGACTCAATGGCAGTGGGTTGGGTTTGGTTTTGTTACTGAGGCAAATATTCCATTCCACACAGTGATCTGGCAAGAATATGACTGGAAGATTTTCAAACATGCTTAGAGCCTACCAAGTTTTTACTGTGATATGCCTGACAGGTTAGTTCTACTTTCTGACAACTATTATAATTTTATTTTTATTGTAAAGTGTCAGAGACACACTAGTGAACAAATCAGACAACGTCCTTGTTTTCACGGACCTTATAGTCTACTGACAGTGATACTATAACCACAAATTTAGTTAAACTTACAGTTTCACCTCTAAATCCCTTTTCACCTTTGGGTCCCTAAAAAAGAAAAAAAAAAAAAAAAAAAAAGATGTTAGTTTAGTGTAGTTGAGTTTGTACACAGAAACATGAGAATTTGTGCTTTTATATTTTCTAGTTATCAAAAAGTTTTTTTGTTGTTTATTAATATAAATTTTAGTGTATTTTATTCCTATGTAAAGCAAAGAAATACAAAAATATCATATTAATTCATTTTGATGTCTGTTTTGCTATTCCTAGCTCTATATTAAAACCACACAGGGTATATAAAGCTACTTATTGTTTATTACCTCAAAACAGCTGATTTGACAACCACAGACAAAACAGTTTAGAAAGGAAATTTAAGAGTCTAAATTCTTGTAATATTTGCTTCCTTCAGTCTTTGAAAACCCTGTTTCTAAGGCAGTTTCTTCTCTTTCTTTCATCTTTTCTTCCTACTCCTTTTGAGTTGCATCTCACAAATTTTGTATATACTATATACATTTTTATTCAGTTCAAAATAATTTCTAATTTCCCTTGAGACTTCCTCTTTGATTTCCATGGATTGTTTAGAAGAGTGTAATTAAATTTTCAAATGTTTGAATAAGTATGGGGGAAAGGATACAATCCTGATGCACACTTTTCCTGATTTTAAACACAGTATCCCCTTGTTCTGTTTGAATGACTGCCTTTTGGTCTACGTACAGGTTCCTTATGAGCACCATTAAGTTTTCTGGAATTCCCATTTTTTTTTTTCCCCAATGTTATCCATAATTTGCTATGACTCACACAGCTGATTATCTTTACATAGTCAATAAAACACAGGCCAACATCTTTCTGCTATTCTCTGCTTTCAGCCAATATCTATGTGACAGTAGCGAGGTTATCCCATGTTCTATATCCTCTTCTGAATCCAAGTTGGATTTCTGGCAGTTCCCTGATGAAATACTGCTACAAATATTTTTCAATTATCTTCAGACAAATTTTACTTGTGTGTGATATTAATGATCTTTCTTGATGATTTCTGCATTCCATTGGATGACCTTTCTTTGGAATAGCAAAAATATGAATCTCTTGCAGTATATTGGCCAGGTAACTGTCTTTCAAACTTTTTGGCAGAGACAAATGAGTACTTCCAGTGTTGCGTCTGTTTGTTGAACCATTTCAATTGGCAGTCTGTCAATTCCTGGAGCCTTGGTTGTCAAGGCTGCTTTCATTGCAGCTTGGAATTCTTCCTTAAATACCATAGGTTTTTGGTCCTATGATATCCCCTGAAATGGTTGATTCAGTGGTTGGTACAGTGACTCCATCTTCTTTTGATGCTTGCTTTGATGCTTCCTGCATCACTGAATAGCCCATAGAATCCTTTAATAGTGCCAACAAAGCTTGAATTTTTCCTTCAGTTCTTTCAGCTTGAGTAATGCCAAGCATGTTCTTCTCTTTCTTTGCACATTTCATTATAATACTTTGCTTTGTCTTTGTGAGCCACCCTGAAATCTTCTGTTCAGCTTTTTAGTTTCATTATTTCTTCCATTCGCTTTAGCTACTCTACATTCAAGAGGAAGTTTCAGATTCTCTTCTGATGTCCATTTGGTCTTTTTTTTCTTGCCTGTCCTTTTAATGACCTTTTGCTTTCTTCATGCATGGTGTTCTTGATATTATACCACAACTTGTCTGGTCGTCAGTCATGAGTGTTCACTACATCAAATCTATTCTTGAAATGGTCTCTAAATTCAAGTGAGATATACTCAAGGTCATACATTGGCTCTTATGGACTTCTTTTGTTTTTAGCTTCCACTTGAACTTGCATATGAGCAATTGAGGATTGGTTCTACAGTCAGCCTCTGGCCTTGTTCTAACTGATGATATTGAGCTTCTCCGTTGTCTCTCTCCATAGATGTAGTTGATTTGATTCCTGCATATTCTATCCAATGATATGAGTATGTATATTTCTTCTGATGCATGCCATGTGTTATCATTCTTTGTCAAGCATATTAACAACAGTTATAAGTATTATAATGAAATGTGCAAAGACTTAGAGTTAGTAATATTTTTAGCTTGGAAGATTGACAAAGAATGATAGCACATGGCATGTATCAGAAGAAATATACATACTCATATACTGCAGGCATGAGTACAAATTCAAACAAACTTTCTGGAAGACAATTTTTATCAGTTTTAGAGTACAAGGATGTTTAGCACAGGGTTTTTTAAAATAACAAAAATTATAAAAATTGATTGTAGAGAATTGAATAAAAATGTCAGTTTGTTAAATATTAGGTACTATCATATTTTATTTAACAAACTGACATTTTTATTCAATTCTCTACAATACAGTTTGTTAAATATTAGGTACTATCAATATTTTGGGAGCTCTGGTAGCATAGTGGTTAAGACACTTGCTTGCTCACCAGAAGGCTGGCGGTTCAAACCCACCAGCTGCTCCTCGGAAAGAAGGTTGGGCAATCCTACTTCCGTAGTGATACTGCCTCAGAAACCCAAGGAGGGGTCGCTATGAGTCAGGGCTGACTCGACATCACATAACAACAACAACAACAACATCAATATTTTACCAGCCACTCCTCGGAAGGAAGGTTGGGCAATCCTACTTCCGTAGTGATACTGCCTCAGAAACCCAAGGAGGGGTCGCTATGAGTCAGGGCTGACTCGACATCACATAACAACAACAACAACAACATCAATATTTTACCAGCCACTCCTCGGAAGGAAGGTTGGGCAATCCTACTTCCGTAGTGATACTGCCTCGGAAACCCAAGGAGGGGTCGCTATGAGTCGGGTCCGACTCGACAGCACATAACAACAAAACAAAAATAAACAATGTCAATATTACCAATATTTGTCATGTTGATTGACATGAAAGAACATTTATATTGTATTGTGATTGCCATTTATATTTCTTCTTCTGCATTTCTGTCTTGTCCTTAACCTATTTTAAACTAAGGTATTAAGTTTTCAAAATTCATTTGAAAGAGATCTTTACAGCATTAAAAAAAAAAGAATCCTTCTCCAGCTCCAATGGAATATTAATAGCCTGATACATAATTTTTTCATATCTTTTAGTGACAAACTATTGACAAATACATTTACGTATTAGTTGTTTTATAAGCCTGGGGTCCTTTGATGTACTCTTCTATGCCTCATGCTTTTCCACTTAATAATACATCACAAAATAACTGTAACTCAGCTGATTGGATATAAATAATTCTTTTTAATATACGTATAAGATGCTATGGCTGTAAAACAATTTATTCAACCATTCTTCTACAGATAAGCATTCACATGGTTTCCAGTTTTTTTTTTTTTCTGTCAACACAAAACTTTGTAAAGTTTCCTTAGTATAATGGTGCTCATATTTCTATGGGATAAATTCCTCAAAGTGGAAAAGCTTAGTTAAAGGGTTGTTGTTGTGTGCTGTTGAGTGGATTATAACTCCTGGGACAGAGTAGAATTGCCTTATAGGGTTTGCTAGGCTGAAATCTTTATGGAATCAGATCACATATCTTTTCTCCTCAGATTGGCTGGTGGGTTTGAACCGCTGATTTTTGTAAACAGCTGAATGTTTTACCATTGCAGTACTAGGCTTCTAGTTAAAGGGTATATGTACTTATATATTCAACAAATATTTTTCTTAAAAGACTATAATACACATTTCCACCTGTGGTAAATGAGAGTACTGTTTTTCCCTACATGTCCTTCTAAGAGGTTAGATGTGTATCTCATTGCCTTATTTCTCTATTTCATAACCAAATTTCTACAAGCATTGGTACACACTGTCCTATTTCCTCTGTTACATTACTAATTTGTATTTCTCAAAATAAAAATGAACATCTTTTCAAGTAATTGTTGACCTTTTTTAGTTATCTTTTTATTATTGGCCCTTTGCATTTATTTTTCTATTAAGTACCTGTTCAGATCCTTTATCTATTTTTCTATTGAGTTTTATTTTTTCACATGGATTTCTAAGAGCTCCTTGTATAGTAATCTGTCACATGTTGTATGCTTTGCAAACACTTTGCAAACACATTATTTTTGACTTATGTAATCTTTTACTATATAAAATTTAAGAAGTTTATATACTCAAATATGTTTCCTTTATAGTTTACAGATTTTCTATCCCATGTAAAAGATCTCTTCAACTCTTAAGTTATGTATTAATTTTCTGAATTATTTAAGATTTTTACTGTTTCATTTTTTATGTTAAAGTCTTTAGAAATTTGTCTTTTTAAAAAATTCTTGTGAAGTAGGATTCCAATTTCTTATAGCAATAATAGAACTCAAATCTCAAATTATTTCCATTTCCTTTCTCTGCAGTGGTGTGGGATAGACATATGACTGAACGCTAATCAATTAGACACAAGAAATGCAATGGGAGACTTTTAGAAAAGAATTTTGTTTTTCTCAAGATGGAGCCAAAATAGCTTTCACTTTGGATAATAAGTATGTCTGGATAATTGTAGTCATCTTGTAGCCTGATTTTATAGGCAACACTCAGATTTATAGCAAGGTGACTCCAATTCAGAATGGCAGAATAGAGATATGGAAAGAACCCAGTATAGGATAACATGATCGAGTCCCTAAATTAACCTAATCTGAAGCCCTTCCAATGTCTCTGTGCTTCCTCTAATAAATTTCTTTATTGTCAGAGCTAGTTTGGTTCAGGGTTCCTATTACTTGGGTCCCAAATCACCCTGATACACCATTTTTGTTATTATTAAATTCTTACATATTCTGAGATCTATTTCTGGACTGAATATCCTACACTGATCTATTTGTTTATTTCTTTGCAGGACTATAAAGTTTATTTATGATAACTTTGTATATTTGGAAAAGCAACCCCCATAAATTCCTTGGGCAATCTACTTCTGTAGTGATATTACCTCAGAAACCCAAGGAGGGGGGTTGCTATGAGTTGGGTCCGACTTGATGGCACATAACAACATTAATTCCCCACCACTATTTTTTCTTCAAAATGTTTTTGCCTATTCTCAAATGCTTATTTTCTCCTAATAAACTTTTCTTAGAAGTTTCTTCTTAGAATGTTAAAATAGAAAATGGAAAAACTTGATGTGTATACTGAATATTATAAGAAAATTTAAGAATTATTTATAAAGAAAACAGCAAGATATTTTAATTAAGCCATTTATTTACCACAGTTTCCTTGACTAATTATTATTTCACATTTTTCACAGCATAGAACAGCCATTCAGTAATGAGAACAATATGTGTTTCTTAGCTTGATGAAAAACCACCTACTGAAATATGAGAATTTTCCCACTTATAATCTCCAACTTAGACTGTATAAATCTGAGTGGTAAATGTTGAAAGTCTAGAGAAATGTTGTGCTATACATTTCTTTTGCTTATAAATCTAGTCACTTTGATGTTGAATTATTCTCTCAATTTGTCAGAAAGTAGTTGTACTTATACTCGATGTATTCCATTTTTAAATTTCAAACATTGTATGTCTACATATAACACTTAAAAAAATTCAAAATACTGATTTCTTGTAAGGACTGACTCTTTCCTCACCAAGTCTCCATCTAACACTTTCTATTGTGCTCCTTCTCTTGTATGTTTACATTATTATCACTATTGTAAGCTCTCCTATGAACTCACCATCTCCCCAATCATTGCCTTATTTCTCTATTTCACAGCAAAATTTCTACAAGCACTGGTACACACTGTCCTGTTTTCTCTATTACAGACATAGCTTGAATAGAGTGAAAAGAGCACTGTGGAATTTCATGAACCTCACCTGTTACCTCCTTTGTTAAATGGAAATATCTACTTCAAAAGTTCGCTGTGAGAATTTGAGAAGTTATTATTAAGTATTTTTAGCTTCTTTCTTCTTCACTGAAATCCGTACTCCATCTTCTATTGCATTTCTCTCATGTTTCACTATTGACTATTCTTTTCTTGAAACCTCATCTCTAACCTTGTTTTGCTGTTTTTTCCTGCTATTCCCAAGAGTTATATCTTTCCCCTTACAGCAGGTACTTCTGAAGACTTAAATTTGCCTTAAATTTGGTGTTCATCTTTTGCTGTGTTTTCTTCTTCAGAAAATAGATTCATATTTATTGCTTTAATGATCACCTATTTATACTAATGCTCAAAAACTTCTAGTTCTATTTTCCCTTTTCAATTCCAGTTTTAAGCACCTTCTTCACTTTTTCATACATCTTCTTCCTTATACACATGATCTCTAAATTTGAAGGAATCACATTTTAAGAAAAAGTACATATTTTTGCCCTTAGCTTTCTCAAATATGCAGACTGATCTTTTGCTGATTGTTCTAAAAGTAGGATTAAAGGAAATAAAAAGTATGAAAAAGAAAACAAGAGACCTGGATTGTGACTAACTTACAGTTCTACCTGTTGGGCCTATTACACCTTCTCTGCCAAAGGGGCCAGTCTTTCCCTGTTGGGGAAAAAGAAAAACAGTCAGTCTAATTTCCAGTATAAAATCCTATATATAAAAATCCTAGAGAATTTCTTGTGTGTGGTAGAATAGTAATAGTTTGGGTAATAGTAATCGTAATAGAAAATAGTTTGGGTTCTTACTCAGTGACCTAATTCTTCATGTTATTATAGCTTCCTATATCAATAGAGTTACAGCTATTCAATCCTTAACAAAATGATAAATCAACATTTCAATTTTTATGTGGTGATAACTTCAATGATGTCATTTTATATGTGTCATTACATAACAAATGGAACTACATTATATAAAAAGAGACTATGAAGAATGATGGATAAATTGGTGAATAAATTTCTTTAGAGATGTTGAGTGAGCAGATTTTTGAGTGACATGCAAAATGGAACAGAGAGAAAGTACTGGAGAGGACATCATATGTGACAGACTAACTAAACTTTAGTTTTTCCATCTATAAAGTAGAAATAAGAATCCTATTTAACAGGTCCATTAAATGTGAAAAGTGCTTTTTAAGCTATAAAATGTTATTTGACTATGAAGATAATTAACTAGGCCAGACTTCTGGTCAATTCCTCCCAAACTAGGTGTGGATCCTATCACTTCCTAATGACTATAAATATCTGTGAACCCCCACTTCTAGTCCCAATGGCTGCCAGTTTCAGTAGTTCTAGCTCACATTTAATCTACAATACACAAATGTAGATAACTAACACGCTTTCATTTTTCTAACTCTTGCAGAGGTATAGGAAATATAACCAATTAATACAATTATAATGCATGTGATTTCTTGATAGCTTTAATAAAGTAACTGAGACAATTTTAATACTAACTTGACCTAGCATGAGTGAGACTACCTAAAATTCTAAAAGTAAAGCTAATAGAATCATTTTTATAAACACAAAAATAGATAATTTATAAACATGGTACCCAAATTTCAAAGATGTGTAATCAAATAAAGAAATTTGATTTCTTAATCTAATAAAATGTGTCTTAGAGACTGGTTTATCTCTAAACAATAATGTCAAGAAAGCATCAAGTTAATCAACTGAACTGTGATGTAATTCTCTGAAATAACGATTTATTAAAAGAATGGGGAGTTATACATCATTACGTAACTGGCAAACCACTGAGAATCATGGCCCAGCCAAGTTGACACATATTTTTTGGGGACATAATTCAATCCATGACATTCCACCCTTTGGTCCCCTTACCACGTGCAATACACTCTCACTCCATTATATCTTCCCACAAGTCTTAAATCAACTCCAATGCCAAATTCTATCCTGGGGAAAAATTCCTCTTCATCTGTGAACCTGTGACGGCTAGACTACAAGTAATCTGTTTTCAAAGTACACAGGTGGAACAAGCACACAGTAGAGATCTTCACTACTAATGGGAGAAATTGAAGGGAAAGAAGGAATAATGGGAATGAAGAAGTACAAACTCCAGTGGAAAAATTTATATTCCCTTCCAAGACTTGAAAATAATCATCTGTTCTCTGAGACCATCTAGGCAATGGCCCTTCTCTCCAGATTCTGGGTGTTGGCCATGCTTTCCGGATTCTGGATTCTGGGAGGCACCTTGACCCTAGGCTTCAGCTCTATTTTCCAGGCCCACTGGGATGGCAACTTTGCTTCCTTGGCTTTGGGAGATCCCATTCCCTTAGTCCATCTGAGTGACAAACCCACCTCCTCAGTCCTAACAGGCCCCATTCTTCTGTCCCTTATGCATGGCAGTCTTACCCCCTCAGATTTGGGTAGTGGATCTACTCCATCCCCCTGGTACTCATAAACAGCAGCCCCACTCTCTGGAACTGAGTTGGTGAAGATCTTACTCTTTGAAATATAGAAGGCTGCAGCACTGCTCCCCCCCCCCCACATACTTTGAAACCCCAAAGGCCATAGCTCTATATTTCAGGACGCAGCAGGCCATGATTCCACTCTTTGAGACCCTAGAGGTTATGGCCCTACTTTTGAGACCAAGGATGCTCTGCTTCCCATGCTACCTGTCTCTTCATCTTTTGCTTCCTGATTTCTTGGCCTCTTAACCTTTTGGTTCCTTAGGCCTATCAGGCCAGCCCAGCTCTGCCCTGCTTGTGCAAGTGTTACAAGGCTCTTCAGATTTACTAAGGGCCTGGAGGCACCCTACCCTGCCAGTAAGCCTTGGCCCAGAGACACTCATCTCTCTTGCTTCATTGGTTCAGCTTCTGTGCTGTTTTGTGCTGGTCTCATAGTTCTTTGCTGCTGCTTCTTGCTGTCCGTGCCATCCCCATTGTTATAGTCCTCCTCACTTCTTTCTGAGTCCTCACTAGAACTTCCTTTGATGTTCATAATTCCACAGTTTGTTTAAGGCAATATAAGTTTTTTACTGTTAAACCAAACCAAAAACCAAATGCACTGTCATCGAGTCAGATCCGACTCACAGCGACCCCTCCTCGGGTTTCTGAGGTGGTATCTCTATGGAAGTACATTGCCCAACCTTCCTCCCAAGGAGTGGCTGGTGGGTTTGAACTGCCAGCCTTTTGGTTAACAGGCAAATGCATTAGGCATTACACCACCAGAGCTCCTTTTAATATCGTTGTTGTTGTTATGTGCTGTCGAGTCAGCCCAACTCATGGTGACCCCTCCTTGGGTTTCCGAGGCAGTATCACTACGGAAGTAGATGGCCCCATCTTCCTTCCGAGGAGTGGCTGGTGGGTTTGAACCACCAGCCTTCTGGTTAGCAGTCAAGTGCCTTAGGCACTACGCTACCAGAGCTCCCCCTTTTAATATTAGGCACTTTAAAACTCTTCTAACCTCTATTCATTACCCAGTTCCAAAACCATGTAAACATTTTAGGTATCTGTTAGAGCAGCATCCCATTCCGGGTACCAAATTCTGTCTTAGTTATCTAGTGCTTCTACAACAGAAATTCAACAAGTGGGTAGCTTTAACAAACAGAAATCCATTCTTTCACAACTTAGGAGGCTAGAAGTCTGAATTCAGGGTGCCAGCTCTAGGGGAAGGCTTTCTCTCTATGTCACTTCTAGGGGGAAGTCCTTGTCTCCTTTCAACATTTGTAGGCACAATATCCCTCAGAGATTTCCATGTGTCTTGGCATCAATTTTCTCCTGGGTCTGGGAGGTTCTCAGCATAGGGACCCTGGGTCCAAAGGACATGCTCCATTCCCAGCTCTTCTTTTTTAGTAGTACTGAGATCTCTTCTATTTTGCTTGCTTGCTTCTCTTTCCTTTTATCTCTTGTGAGATAAAAGGTGATGCAGGTACACTCCAGGAGAATTCCCTTTACAATGGATCAGCTGTGACCCACCTAATCCCCTTACAACTAATTGGCTCATCACATCCTGGGGGATGATTATATTATTACATAACTGCCAAACCACTGAGAATTATGGCCCATTAAATTGACACATTGTTTTTGGGGACAAAATTCAATCTATAACACATGGACTTTAGATAAAGTAGACCCAAAGAGTAATGATTGTCTATGTTTATCTATACCACTATGTTTATGTTTATCACTGATCTGCACTGAACATTTTCCCTTGTTACCCTCCGAGAGGGACCGGGTCTCCGGGAGCAAGGTAAGCACGGGCTTAGCACAGAGTAGCAGGCCGGAAGAGCAGGAGAAAGGGGTAAAACCCAGGGAGCCAAAGAGAAGAGCAATCAGCCGAAGAGATTAGGTGAGGAGGGGAAACTCAGGG